TACAGATACAGATACAGATACAGATACAGATACAGATACAGATACAGATACATAATATCTGAATATCATAACCATTAACAAGTATTATGCAGTCGGATGCGCCCGGTTGCAATTGTTATTACTTGTTTTTTATTATTTGAAATAATGTTGTTGTGCCTACAGTTGACTTAGTGATAAGATGTGTCTAAGGTGTTCAGACGTATACAGTATATAAATGCATATATTCATATTCTGATATTTATTTGTGAATATTTATATTTACTCTGTTCTCTAAATTCGATATTTCTCAATATCTGTATATCTGACAGCCCAATTAATTTACATAGCCTTATCGGTCACTTTATTATCAATCTGTATTCATATTCTCTGACCGAAAAAGCCGAAGGCAGCTAGACGATGAGATGCCCTGTACAGAGAGAGTAGAAGACATATAGCTGATGTTATCTAAGCAAATAGGCACGATAAGCAAGATACTATCTATATAATAAGTTTAATGCGAGCTACCTCTGAGCTGAGTAAACAAACTGAGAAACGAGTATAAAATGGGAAATATCTCTATCACGAGAAATTGCAAAATAGGGAGCTTAGCAATGTTCTCTGTTATCATAAAGCTGCAAGATATAATGTTAAACCTACATTTAGTATGGTAAGAAGCTAATATAAATAATTTTCCCACGCTGAAATCGGTGTTCTATATGTGCAAGGTCCAAGGTCAAATCTAATGACATCTTAAAAACTAACCAGGATCTACATTAATGGGCAAACACGAACCCATTTGACACTCCAAAATTTAGGTATTCAGATATGCAGTGGCTGAAAAATGTTTAAAGTGCACATTAAAGCTGTTGCTATCTATATAACTAAATAAAATCCTAGATTATACCAGGGTATATTTGTAGCTTAATTTGCTGGAGCTGTAACGTGTTACGCTATGCTATGCAAATTTCTATATTCTTATGAAACTATTAGCTTATATATTAAAATAGTTTAGCAAGAAGAGAATATACCCTTTGTCCCCACTCTGAAAGCACATTAAAACTGCATGGTAAATATTTGTAGAACGCAATATTACAAAACTGATATGATGGTGATTCCTGGAAAGACTTAATCGCGTACAGAGATGAACTCAATATGTGTGTGTAAATTTTAATATAATTGAAAATGCAATGAAAATCGAATGAAACGAGCGACGCTTACGGCTAACAGCTAGCATATATATTTAGGACTAAGAAAGCTGAACTCTGGACCCCTGCAGGGGTCACAGCTAAGAGACACCACCTTGCGGATGGGGCGCTTGGAGCTAAGCAGCCCCCCTTTGCGGCCTAGCAGCGAGAGACATCGGGCAGCGTACGCCCGCGACATTTGCTCATCCAGCCGGGCCAGGCCTGAAAGCCGTGACGATTGAAGATCTGCATGGCACAGCGCGAATCATCCGAAATCTCATCATTCAGAAATTCTAAGAAAAGACAGCGAGAAAGAGAGAGAGAGAGATCTATTGCGAGCAAAGTGTTAGGGTATAATTCGACTTTGGTTTTACCTTCGCATTTGATATTGCAGATGCCACCGCGACGACCCTTGCGACACCAGTTCTTGCTGTTGATCTGTTAATGAGCTGAGCAAAGTTAGAAATGTAGCAAAATGAAGGTGTTTGGGCTTTGCCTCTACCTGAAAGAGTCCGTAGCTGACGCTCTGATTGGGCAGCTGCATGGACTTTGAGGTGCTGCGTCCGCTCTCCGCTTCCACCAGACAGACCCCTATATATATGGCAGGGATCAGTCGAGCGATCGGTTAACAGAGCTGCGATACTTACAATTGGATAGGTAGCTGCGTGGAAAATCGTGACGCAGCAGCTCCTTGGCCAGCTGGCAGCGAGTCAGCAGCTTCGATTGCGTTTGCGTCAGCAACAGGATCACGCTGAGGGTCAGGAGAAACGCGCTCGCTTTACTCCAACGCAGAGCCATTTAGGAACAGAGAGAAGGCGACAGACAGACAGACAGACCGATTGATTGATTATTTGAGTTTTGGATATTGGGTGCCTGGACCACTTTAATCCTAAAGCGCTTCCGCAGCAACTGCCAAACTACAACTAAACACGCGTAGCGTACGAAGATGGGCCTTTTAAAGCCTCGCACGCAATTTAGTGTCTGGTGTCTGCCCATGCTAGAGAATCGTTCCACTACGAAATTGACATACATATGATGCAATGAGCAAAGCTGGCACCAACTCAAAGGATGCCAACTACTGGATACCCTAACCAGAGCAGTGTTGAGCCAAGATATGAGATTGCTCTCAAATGGAATATCTTGGGGAGTTTGCATGTGAAATTTTCGTTGATTATTGTTGAGAAAAGTTTTTGCTTTGTTTGCAGATATCAATTAAGAGATAATAACGATTATTTGTATATAAAAAATCATGATATTCATGTATCGATTTGAGACTCAAATGAGTCTCGGTTAGTGTGCTTAGCAAAGCCAATAGAATGGAAGAAATTCTTAATTGAAACGTTTATTTAGTTAAGGTTTTTTCTATCAAGCAGGGGATACATGGATCTTTCTAGTACGTAAACATAATTAGACGGAAAACTCTATACTTGGCTTACACTCCTCTATGAATGAATGAAGTATACCCAACTCTCAGCTGGAACTCCGCTAACTAATGAACTACCAATATATCAATATAGCATCAAAAGTCTATATACTTATCCATAATTCCAGCTTTGCCTCTGTTTCTCTATGCGACGCCTCTTCGGAAACATCTTCTATGACAAATTCTAAGTACGTGCAGCTAGTGCATAATAAGAACAGAGACGTACTCTCAATTAGCATGCCTGGGGGCAACGTCATCGTCATCCTCAGCAGCAGCAGCAGCAACAACAACAACAATAACAATGTCCCATGAACATTTATTGTGTTGCTTTCGCTTTTGCGTGAAATATATGAAAAATAAGAGAAAAACAAATTGGGAAATGTGTTTGTGCTGGCAAATCGATGTCACGTCGACATTTGTCTATGCTTCGAGCAGATTGCATACAAAAAGATACAAAAGTATCTCAGACTAAGACACACGCACACACAGATTCAGTTTCAATGCAATAAATCGCACGCTCTAACTGCGTTAAGCGCTTAATTGGCAAATTGTCTTGCGCAAGATACAAATGTATCTCTATCAGTATCTGCATCTGTAACTGTATCTCAAGCTATGACCGCTGCGCCGCTTGACCTAAAAAGAAATTCCACACACAATTTCAATTGGCTTTAGCATTTTATGCAAATGCAATTTCACAAATCTATTCCCCAACTGTTTTATTTTCGTCGAAAACATCTGAGAAAAACTTTTCCATCATGTTGTTTTTTCTGCTCTCTTTTTTTTTAGCTGCCTGCTGCTAGCTCTGACGCTAGTTGCAGCCAATCAGCTAAAGGATCTGCTCGAGGACACCACCACCGCAGCCAGCACGAGCTCGTCGAGCACCACCACAACCACCAGCCCCACCACTGTGAGCGCCTATGTCATCTCGGCGGCCGCTGTGCCCGCCTTCAATGCAGCCGCGCCCAAGTCCAAGTCGAAGCCAGCCCCTGGCAAATACTTCAATAAGAGCTCGCCCAGGAAGCGCAAGGCCGAGGAGGTCTCCTCGCTGCCGCTGCCCGGGGACACGGATGGCCTGCGCGAGTGGAAGTGCCCCAACATCTCGGACTCTCGCAACGCGGAACTCGAGTGCGGCTGCGACCTGCCCCACACGCTGCGCTGCAATATCGATCTGCATGGACTCCTGGTGAGTGCTTGCGAAATTCCCTTGCCTCTTAAATCTTAGATATATTTCGGAGTACAGTCACTCTTTAAGTTAATTGATATAATACGTTGATTAAGAGCTAAGAGTTCGCTAAATGAGATATTTGAGTAGAACAGAATTCGGTCAGGCTTTAGCTGATATACAACATATAGACAGTCTTTAAGATAATCGAATACAAAGAGAATTATGGAATGAATAATCGAATAACAGATAAGTATTTGAAATTGTTAAAGAAACAGCATGACTGCTAAGACTCTACTTCATCACATCATATCTAACAGATCATATCACAGATCGACAAGACCTTAGATTAACTGCATTGAGCAGAAAGAGACCTAATTTATCTACATCATTGTTCAAGCTCAATCTAGATAACTATTTGCATTGTGAAAACTGAGCTCGAGGGATTGTTTGTATCAGGGAATAGACTTTGGTGCGTTGCAATTTTCAGTAGATCAGAGATCAGCTGAGACCTTGCCGAGAGAGGAGTGAAGATGCCAGACAGACGTTCGTTTAATTGTATGAGTGTTTGATTGACTGAGCCAGAGTTCAGCTGAGGCACTTGTAGCATACATAGTAAACGAATTGGGTGCAGATTAAAGCAGTGTATAAACATGTATGTGTGTATAACCGTAAAATCGAAGCTAAATCGACTTTCACTCCTCATCGCCCGCAGGTGTTGGCAGACAGATTGCGCAGCTCGCCGTATTCCATATCGCTGCTGGACTGCTCGCTGCGCAATGTGACCTTCCTGAGCGATGCCAAGATCTTTGATGGCATCTCGCTGCACGGCCTGGTCATCTCCTCGGGCGAGATCAAGCGGGTGCACAAGTCCGCCTTTCTGGGCATCAAGGGCCCACTGCAGGCCCTGGGACTGCCGGGCAATGCGCTGCTGAGCGTGCCCTGGAATGCCCTGTCCACGCTGAATAGTCTGGAGCGCCTCGACTTGGCGAACAACAAGATAAAGGCTCTGGGCACGGCCGACTTTGTGGGCCTGGGCAACCTCGTCTACCTGGAGCTGAGCAATAATCAAATCTCGAGCATATCTCAGCGCACTTTCAGCAACCTGCGCAAGCTGGAGGTGCTGAAGCTGGGCGGCAATCGACTGGGCGACTACGCGCAGAGCTTGAAGGCCCTGAGCCAGTGCCTGAGCCTACGCCAGCTGGATCTCACGGCGAACAATCTGAATGGACCGCTCAGCGAGCAGACGCTGCCCGGCCTGCGCAACCTGGAGAGCCTGAACCTGAACCGGAATATGATTAAGAGCATACAGAACAAGGCCCTGGCCAATTTCTCTCGCCTGGTCAGCCTCTCGCTGCGCCACAACCAGATCGATGTGCTGCAGGATCACGCCTTCTTCGGGCTGGGCTCGTTGGACAGCCTCGACTTGAGCTACAATGGCATTGTGGCCATCTCCAGTGCCTCGCTGCAGCATCTCACGCGGCTCACAGTGCTCGACCTGACGCACAATTTCCTGCGCGCCCTCACCTCGGACCTGATTGCGCCGCTGCCCTCGCTGCGGGAGCTGCGCTTGGCCGGCAACGACATCTCGATCGTGGCCAGAAATGCCATGGATCGCGCACAGGAGCTGCAGAGTTTGCAGATGCAGGACAATCCGCTGTCCTGCGACTGCAGCATTCGTCCCTTCGCCGAGTGGCTGCAGGTCTCCAAGCTGTCCTCCAGCCTCAGCGCCTCCTGCGTCACGCCTCCGCGACTGGAGGGCGCTCCGCTGCTCCAGGTGCCGGTGGAGTCGCTCACCTGCGACATGGACAACGTGGAGAAGGATAATGCGAACATTATGGAGCATCTGGAAACGCTGGCCAAGCCCAATCAAACCTCAACACATATCAAGGATTTGTCCGAGGAGGTTTGTGCTCGGTAAAGTTCTTATAGTCCTTTGTAGCTAACTTGCCAATGTCCTTAGATCATTCTACACGAATTGCACTACTCGGCGGACTACGGCCTGATCCTGACGTGGCTGCTGAATCTTAGCAAGAAGGACTATATGTGCGATGCCATATTTGTTTACAAGGAGCAGAATGTCAACGAGATCCTCATCGATAATTCACCTGTAAGTGGAGAAGTTTTAATGGCTGAAAGGGACTGTAGCTGAACTGTAAAACTTATTTAATTTAGATCCACTGCGAGAGCAAGGTCGTCAACGGACAGAATACTGTGAGCGTAATAGTGCCCGATAGTTCCTCTCTGGATATTGGCGAAAGGTAGGTAGCAGTCCATGTACATCCACTCATGCTACACAAACTCTGTCTACATTCTCTTTATACACTCTCCAATTGGAGTAGAGTAATTACTCTCTATAATCTTTACTCTTCGTACTCTACTCTTCCGGTATTCTTGATTGATAGTTCTCCATGCAGATTATCTCGATTCTCCATTCTCACGGTTTGCTTTTGCCTTTGCAGCTATCGCTTCTGCCTGGTCATGGTGCAGGAGCAGAATCCCAAGGCCGAACTCAACATTGGCTGCTCCAACATAACGCAGCTGCAGCTCAGCAGTCCCGACTCCAAGCCTGCTCTGCGCCAGTATCAGCGTCAGCCCTACTATACGCCGCACGAACTAGACGTGGAGCCGGAGCAGGCAGCCGGCGAGGACTACCAGCAGCTGAATCAGCGACAGTTTAGCAGCGGCAGCCAGCAGCAGCAGCAGCCGTTGCATCCACATCAGCAGCAGCCGCCGCCGACGTTGATGCACAGCTACGATGTCATCGATTCGCTGCACAAGAGTTTCCTGCCCGGCCTGGGGCTGGGCATTCTGGTTACCTCGGTGGTCGTCCTGATCTGGGGGGCCACGCGCATACGGCAGAGCGTCAGTGGTGGAGTGGGCGATGCCAGTCTCAGCAGCATAAGCAGCAGCTTGCACCACCACCACCACAACAACAACAACAACAATAACAACAGCAGCAGCAACAACAGCAGACCGGGCACGCCCACCGCGACGACTTGCTACGCCGCCTCGGACCACATAGCGAGAATGGCGGACGCGGAGAATGGCACGCGCTACCTCAAGCTGCAGGCAACGACCAGTCTGTAAGAGGAGGAGGAGGAGGAGGAAGAGGAGGAGGAGGAGGAGGAGAAGAGAGGTAGAGAGGCGCCACCCAGACTCAGAGCCAATCGTACCAATCGAACTTGTGATAGTACAAGCACATTGTACCCAAATACATGTATATCATATCATAGAGTATAAGATATATTCATACATATAGCATATATGCTTATAGAGGGAGCTGTTGCCAGCTCACCCGCACTAATCCAAATACTTGGCCTAACACTAACCAAATTGTGCCATAAGCTAACTCACACAAGAATAGCACCTCGGTCTATATAAGAAACGAAACCCTAAGCTAACACTCAAAGCACTCAGAGCAGAGTCTGAAAACGGAAAATGCTTTTTAAAACTTCGGCTCGGAATTTTGTAAGAGGGCATTCGAAAATAGTTTAGACACAACTATATATTAAAATACTTTTCTATTTGATTTTATGTTCTCCTTAAGATCGGACACTTTTCAGACTAACCTCGCATACACACATACATATATACATCTTACTCAATATCTTTAGGACTCCACTCATGCGCAGGCTCTTGCAGGTCTTTTCCTTTTCTTAATATAACATATTATATTATAGTTAAAGCTATTGACTCTAGGAATATGTCGCGATTATTTCACTTCTATTCCCTATCCAACTCTGCAAGGGTATTTAAGCTTCGGCAAGTTTACCATAAACTCAACAACTTTTGTTAGCCTTTGGGGCTAAAAACTTTGACGTCGCCTCTTTGACTTTTCGGTAGTATTAAGGAATCATAAGTCATGACCCTCTAGGCTTACGCTTTAATAATTTATTAACCATATACCAAGCACACACACAAAAAAAAAGCAAAAACAAATTGTAAGTAAATAAAATGTTGAAATTACTTTATGATGATGGCAATAAAGCACACACACAATGCAATGTCGCACTCTTCAGGTTGCTGTGGGGGCGGTGCCAATGGGGGCGTGGCAGCACGCTGTGCATGAGCAATCGAAGCCTTGGCCATTTGGTATTTCGGCTATTTTTATACATACATAATATTAAGTGGACTATTAGCATGCGTATGACGTCACAGCGCTCTGAACTTTTCAGCTGAATTAGACTATTATGCGGACTATTATATGAGCTCATGGTTTTTAAGCGCCCACGGGACGCACTGCTCAAAACAATTGGCGCAAGCAGCAAATAATTACGGAATAACAAGGACAGGGCGAGGAGTGAGGCAGAGCCATAGCTTTGGTCTAGTGGAGCTGCCTATTGACTGTCGCTCAGCTAAACAGAAATCAGAATGGCTCAAACATTGCAGTACTCTGACCGTCGCCCTCACACTCCCGCTGCGCTTGACATACCCTGTATTTTGTATAATTAGCAAGCTAGATGAGGCTGGCACAGCTTGCAGATGTCTTGTATAAAATCGATATTTATCGATCTTCATTTTCGATTCCTAAAGTAGGACTACGCCCATGTGAAAGACTTCTTATAAATAGATATACATATTAAATATTATACATATTGCTAACATAATTGGCCAATATTATGGCAGCTAAGAAGAATACTTACCAGGGCATCTTTCAGTCAGTCATTTCATAGTGGATGTTTTGCTGCGGTCTGCTTGTGTTGTGGTCATCGCTGATATGGCGACGCGTGAGTCCAGACTTGCCAAACGGACGGATGTCCTCGCGGACCGTCAGTTGGGCGACAACAATGAGCACGGCCGGAACGACACAGCTGGCCACGGGCAGGACGACGCGTTAGCCGTTTATCGATTTTCAGACAACTCACACACACACACACACATCAGCCTCGAAGGCGTTGCGGGTGTTGCGTGTTAGCAAAGAGAAAAGGTAGAGGACATAAAGGAACAACTAGGTACTCAGTTCAGTCGAAAATCCCTTGGAACTGGGCGCCCCAGTGGCGGCCCCTTTAGAACGGCCTCCACATGAGCATGCTTGGCTTTGTCTACTTGGTGCTCATCCTTGGCTGGATATTGATCGTGCTGTTTCTCAAGTGCAAGAAGTCGCTGACGGCGCCCTTTCGCTTGGGCGATAACTACACGGATGCCATCGCGGAGACGAGTGCCGAGCGCCGTCCCTCGGTGCATGTGATCCAGCTGCAGAGCGAGGATATCGAGCAGGAGGATCACTATATGAACAATTTCCACAGGCAAACGGACAACCTGCAGCGCTACTCGCATCGATCGACGCTCGAGGAGCGCACCATCGAGCGCACATATCCCACGGATGCGGTCATCAATCCAGCCTACATGCACGACGAGGACTACGTGATTAACGGTAGGCGTGCCCTCACTGAACCCTAACTTAGTTATGAACTTATCTACTTTTCAACTCTAGCTCCGCCGCCCTCATACGAGGAGGTGATGCGACAGCCGCAGGTGTACCCGCAGGTGCGACACAATAACCATAAGATTAGCGACCTAGACATTTAGGCTACTTAGGATAAGATCTCTGTGTACATATGTATTTGGATCAGCTGTGATTTCTCTGAATTATATATAGATAGATACATACATATATATATATATATATTCAATTACAAAGTTTCCTTTCTGTTATTGCGTATTCCATATATTTATTTTGTGTTGTGGGCCATCAGCAACAAAATCAATTCAATTGATTCTACAAACTGTTGCAATTAGCAGTTAACATTAATTATACACATACGTATAGAAAATGTACAAAATCATTTTACATTTGATTACAAACAAACAATCAGTCAGAGTGTGCGTAAGTGTGCGTGTACGTTCTAAATAAATAATTAGATGAAAGTGTATGTGTTTGTTTGTAAGTGTGTTTGTCGTACAAATTAAACCGAAAGAGAAACATATATAAAAACAAACTAAACTAAATAAGCATAAAGATGCGCTGGTCTCCATCCATATATATAAAGTATATATGTGATGTGTGTCCGTTTATGTGCGTGTTGGTATTTGGCTAAATTAAGTCACTAAATTCGTTTACAAAAATATGCACAAACGTTTGTGCCTAGGCTCAAATTATTCACAGTTCTAATGACTTAAGTTGAGTTTCCGATTCTCGATTTCCATATCTCCCTTCCTTTTTGGCCCAGTTTTTTGGCTATATATTTCTGTATAAATATATATATCTATATGCATCTATGAGAGCACATTGTGGACGCTATGCATTTGTATAAACGCCTCCAGCTGCTTGGGTATCATGTCCTTGAAACTTATTTTGTTGCTGGCAATGCAGCGGGCTGCTAAGCATTTCAGAGTGGTGTGTGCGTTCTGATGGCCATGCAGCAAGTTGGCCAAGTTAGCTGCAAGAAAACAAGTCACTCAGTCAACAACTACATATAATTTATAGCATAATAAACTATAGTTTACCTAGCTTGCAGGCTGCAGCTGCTGTTTGACCCGCTGCATTCACCGCATCCAAGTGTGCGCCTGCCTCCACGAATAGCTGCAATATGCGCGTCATTTCGCCCTGGCGGTCCTGTGAGCTGTTTATCTTCGTCACCAGGATGTGCAGGGGCGTGTTCCTGGCCGCATCCACAGCCACCACAGAGGCGCCGCAGTGCACCAGAACCAAAGCAGTTGCATAGCAGGGAAATCTGACAAAAGACAACAACAGTTAGATGGAGTCCTTAAAGTAATATAAACTCTGTTCTTACTTGCACATTTCGTTGGTATAGAATTCGTCTATGGGCGTGACACCGTTCACGGCTAGATGCAGCAGCGTTTGTCCATCCTGCAGACGCGTGTCGTTCTGTATAAACTTACGAACTACTAAGAATAGCTGCTGTATGTGATCCTCATTGATGTCCTGATCCTTTTTGCGACGTGCCAGCTGAGTGATTATTTTAATTAAATACAATGCTGTGATGCAGTTCTGATTGTTCTGATCCTGCACCAGACTGACGCAGGTGTTGGGCTTAGCGCTGCGCATCTTTAGCTTGTTGTTCTCAATCTCCTGCTGGCAATTGGTCAGCACGGGCAGCACTTGGTCCAGGGTCAGGCGATGGTTCTGCACCCGCAAAATCTGCGCAAAGAGCTGCGCAAAACGCAGCAAATCGCGATCCACGCTGATCTGGAAGAGAAAGTAGGAATGTACATAAATGGAGCTCAATACGTTGGCTATATTATCTTACATTGTTGCGCATGCGAAGATCGATGGCATAGTTCCACAGCACTTGGCACTGCTCGAATCTGCCCTGATCTGCCATTACAGCGCCTCGATAGACAATCGCTTGTGGCAATTCCGGATGGTTTTTGCCCAGGACACGCTCCCGTATGGCCAACGACTCCATGTGTATGGAGTGATGGTTCAGCTTGATGGCATTCAATTCGGGCAGATTCTCCGTCTCGAACCAGCTGTCGTATGCAGGTACCGGCTGTTGCACCTTCTTACGAATCACGTGTCTTGGATCGCTGTAGCGCAACTCCATGGCACGCATTAAATAGCTAAAGGCGCGATTCACGTCATACTTGGTCTTATCATTCGCATACGTAGCGCCCAGCAACTCCAGGGCGGTGATCTGCTCCTCTTTGGTCATCAGCCCAGGGCGCTGGATGAAGGCCTCCACAACATCCTCATGCAATCGCTCGGCAGCCTGCAATGCTGGAGTTATTCCTGTCTCATTCTTCAGCAGCGTTGCGTCATGATCGAGCAGTGCGTTCACCACATCCAGATGGCCGCTCTCCGCAGCATAGTGCAGAGCTGTGGCGCCACACAGAGCTTGATCGTTGGGCCGCGAGCCATTCCGCAGCAGCGTATTGACAACCAGATGATGACCCTTGTAGGCGGCTATCATCAGCGTGTTGTTGTTAAACAAGTTTGTGGCATTCACATCGGCGCCATGTTCCAGCAGAAACTCAACGATGTCCAAGCGACCTGCACGATAAATAAATGGAAATTTAAATAAATAGAACTCTGCTCGCGGCATGCCTAATCAATTTATTACCTTCATAGCAGGCAGCGCGTAGCGGCGAGGATTGCGCCTTGGTGTTGTGATTGATGGAGGCGCCGGCCTGCACCAGCATCTTAACAATCTGCAAATGGCCCATGCCAGCGGCTACCCACAAGGCTGTGGCGCCGTAGACCACCAGCCCATCGAATATGACATTGCATTCCCGCTCCAGGTCTACGTCGTAATGAGAGAGCAGCGTCTTCACGAACGTCACATTGCCCGACATGGCGGCCATGGTGAGAGGCGTTAGCGATTGGCCATCGGGCTGATCAAAGTTCTGTGTGTGAGAATAGAGAGAGATTTTAGTATGGAAGAGTCGAGAAAACTTGAAGATTTATGAGCGTATATTAAATCTCTATGTCTTCTAATAAGACTTGCCCATAAATTGTTTGCTACAGTGAATACTCGAATGATAACTATAAAGTCTAGATGATGTGCATAAACTGCAGCTGCAGGGTATACTTTGGTCCACTAGACAATATTTGTTACAGTCGCAGTCTATTCTTCGATGAGCACGCTCTGTCCACAATAGGCCCAGTTCACTATTTATGCATATTATCATCTATTTAATATGTATTCACAATATGTATGCGTATTCACGCTCCGAATGATTTGTTTGCGCCGCAAGCTCTATCCACTATAACCTTAGTCCACAGTCTGTAAATTTTCGTATCGTCGTATTTTGTATGCTTATGAGATGCGTGCGCATATATATTTGATATATATTTAAAAAACTTTTCACAGTCAAGGCTGTAGCTGGCGAGCATACGAAAATAGTGCGTTTTCCTCGCTTTTTGCAGCATAAATTTCTCGTTTGTGGGAAAACGTGCATAGAGAATTGTCGCAGAAAGTTTTCCTTTGTTGTTGCTGTTGTTCATTTGGTTTTTGGCACGGCAAATGTAAATATTACAAATGCGCACGCTCTTTGTCTTCATTGCACATCTACTATACACATATTATACAGATACATATATATTTTTATATGAGTGTGTGTATGTGTGTGTGTGTGCTAGACATATGGATGCTGCGGACTGAGACAAGATCCAGACATGGCCTGTCCAAAGTCCAAGGCAAAAGTCTTTGCGTTCAGGGCTGGCACCAATTGCGTTTTTATACCCTGAACCCATTGAAAATGGGAAATCAGGGTATAATGGTTTTGTTAAAATGTATGTAACAGGCAGAAGGAGGCGTGGCAGACCCCACAAAGTATATATATT